TGGGGACATTCGTAAATAATGAAATCACATCAAAGGATACCATAGCCTCGTGCGGTAGCATGGTCTGAGCGCGTATAAGTTAAACAAAGTCACGGGAATTCCGGACGCTAAACTTATTGTTTCCCGTAAGAGGGCTCAGAATCATTACCAGATATTTGGAAAGGCTGTAAGTGGATGAATCAATAATATATACAATCGGGCGTAGGGGGCAACCCGGTTTGTGAATTTTGGGGAGTTCATACATCTTGGGTGTCGCGGCGTCAAAGGAGAAGAGATGACGGTATAGGTCATCACTGATGCGTCCTTTCTTTTTCAGCTCTCGAAGGTGGTCAGCTAACTCTCTTTCGGACTTAGCGGCGGGATCTCTTGATAGCCTCACGAAATAGCGACTGTCATTTATAACTTCATACATCTTCTTCAGGTAGTCATCCCTATCAAGCACAACGGTTCCTTTTCCTTTGTCGGCCTTTAAAATCGTGATCGAGCTGTCTGACTTCAACTGATTAAGAGCAATGCGTTCTTGTTGATCTAAATTTGACCCGGCCGGTTTCACATTGTTCGAAACACTGACAACGCGGCTTCTCGCGAAATTTACCCCTGTGACATCGTGCACATGTCTGAGTTTCTCTTCAATTTCAATTATGAAGTCACGTTTTGGAACGTACCGTGGAGCAAGGGCATAGTCCAGTCCTTTAGATAGCAGAAATTGCAAGCCAGGGTTGGTAATAGTAACATAGGGTACGTACGGCAGAATTCTCTGCCATAAAAAAAAATGATTTGGCTAACGCAAATTTAACGCGAAATAGGTGCAAAGAGTTTTGCGATAAAAAGCGTAAACCGAAAAAAAGGAAAAAAAAAAGAAAGACTGAAGGAAAGGAGAAATAAGAAAAAAATCTGGTGACGTGGCCAAAAAAAAAAAATTCTGTTCATGTGATTTTTTTTGTTACGTGACCAAACAAAAAGAAAATAAAAAAAATAAACTAAATAAAAAAAGGAAAACAAGAAAAAAAACAAGCCCGGTTTCAAAGCTAAGCCCGCTTGATCGTGAAACTAGCGCGCTGTCCGTCGCGCCAACATAACTTTTTTTGTCTTTCTTTATTGCAAGTTGCGCCAACATAACTCTGCCTGTAATGCTCACGCATTCTCCCATCATAGGAGAAAGCTTAGTTGCCTTCGTAGTTTTTCATGCATGTGTTATTTTTATTTGTGGCAAGAGTTCACGTCCAGAATGCTTTTAGAGTTTTCGAGCAAAACGAGTTTTCTTCATCTGAGTCACCTTCTAGAACCAGTAGACCGCACTGGGTCGTCGGGCTAATCAAGCAGCTTTTTTCAAATTCTCTAACGTGCCCGTCCTCGGATCCGAGGTCGCCGTTTGACAAGCTTAACTTTCTTCCACCTTTTAGCCGCAACCCCCACGGCAGCTTTCTTCCGTCCCCACTCCCTCTCGAGAGGATGGCTCGCCCCGAGGCTAATCCCATTCTCTAGACGCTCTTTCCACCCAACGATGGCCCTTTCCCTCCCCGTCCCCTAGCTTCGGGAGAGAAGGTTCTTCTCTGTAGAACGTCCCGTTTGTACAGCGGCCTTTAAAGCTCAGATTGTCCTGTCTGATCGTCCCTTTTGTGTCTCCACTTTTAATGTTTAAAAAGTATCAACACGCTAAAATAGTACAATTTCCAGGATTTTATTTTCATTCCCCAAGTGTGATGCGGGAGCCGCGCCACGGAGCCCCGGTCGTTTCCGCTCTTTGTTGTCGCTAGGATTTGACAGTGCTCAATCACAATGCAAGACAGACACGCACTGAGCCACGCTCGCTTTTGCAATGCGCCGCCTAATAATGATATCTCTTGTGGAAACGTGCGCACATCCGTCTTGTCCAGTGTTAGCTCAATTGACAGCACTTTCTGTAAAGGCGGATTCACACCGGGGATGTAAGCAGTCGCGCGATCCAACTAAATCGCATCGCAAAAAAAAAAAAAAAAATAAAAGTAATTAGTTGGTCAATTTGGCGTGCGCGATGAGCGAGTCCAACGCCTTCGTTGGCGAGTCGCTTCTCAAAAACTCTCGCTCCGAACGCCGTTGGTTGGCTGGGCCTCTCCGCGACTAGAGTGCATCGTAAAAAGTCGGGTGAGCAAGCGACTGCTCGAAACCCGTCACTTTTTGCCCGCGATGGTCGCTTTTGCGATGAAAGTTATGGCGCGACTAGATCGGATCGCCGGTGTGAACGCGCCATAATGTCGAACCAGTCTCATGGCGCGCTCCGATATTGGCTTGTGTACCTACGCGCGAGTGCAACCTCTGGCACAATTTATTTGCGTTTGCAAAGCCTGCTCCAGCCGCGTCAAAACATTCAGCCAACCTTTGGACTGCAGAAATCAAGAGACACCCGAAATAACATAAAGTTGCCAGCCGAATAAAACTTGATTTCTATTTAATTAAGATGAAGACCACCCGCATACATCAAATAATTCGTCAGCCGAACTCCAAGGCAGTAAGCCTAGTTCTGGCACTTTTTTGGCAACTTTGGCCCGCAGCTGCCAGATCACAGGCAAACTATCGGGAAGCGAAGCCTAACTTGGGCGCTCGTTTGGCTACTTGGGCCCAAAGATGCCGGATCTCAACCGAACTACAAGGTAGTAAGCGTAACTCTGGCACATCTGTGGCGATTTTGGCCCGAGTGTGCCGGGTGACGGCCAAACTGTGAAAAAGTGAAGCCTAACTTTGGCATAAGTTTGGCGATTTTGGCCCGAAAATGCCAAAGCTCTTCCGAACTACAAGGTAGTAAGCCTAACTCTGGCACATCTCTGGCGATTTTGGCCCGAATGTGCCAGGTGACAGCCGAACTGTCAAAAAGTGAAGCCTAACTTTGGCATTAGTTCGGCGATTTTGGCCCAAAAATGCCAAAACTCTGCCGAACTACAAGGTAGTAAGCCTAACTCTGGCACATCTGTGGCGATTTTGGCCCAAATGTGCCAGGTGATAGCCGAACTATCAAAAAGTGAAGCCTAACTTTGGCATTAGTTTGGCGATTTTGGCCCAAAAATGCCAAAGATCTGCCGAACTACAAGGTAGTAAGCCTAACTCTGGCACATCCATGGCGATTTTGGCCAGAATGTGCCAGGTGATAGCCGAACTATCAAAAAGTGAAGCCTAACTTTGGCATTAGTTTGGCGATTTTGGCCCAAAAATGCCAAAGATCTGCCGAACTACCGGGCAGTAAGCCTAAATCTGGCATTTTTTAGGCGATTTAGGCCCGAAGATGCCAGACGACAGCCGAACTACCCGGCAGCGAAGCCTAAGTTTGGCACTTGTTTGGCGAATTAGGGCCAAGATACCCAGACTGTTGCCAAGGGAGGTCAGGTTTGGCACTACTTTGGCTTCTTCGGGCTTTTTAGTGCCCTAAACTGCCAGACGCAAGCCAAGTTTTGGCCCAGAACTCGGTGCTGCCTGGGATATAATATTAAATTAGCTCATATGCTCGAAGGAGCCAGATCGGTAAAGTAAAATCAGGTTGACACAATTTCGCTAGCCAGGCAAATAAATATACGACAATTAGTCTTCTCAGAATATTTTAATAGTGTTATTATAATCCACACGTGCTAATAGGAACGCATTTACACACAGACGTTTTATGTTATTGTCCTGTCATGTACCTAAATATGCTATGTGCCTTATATATATGTGTGTATATGCGCGTCTGTATGATGCGTATGTATGTACGTGTGTGTATGTATGCGTGTATATACATGTATGTATATACATATGTATATGTGTATGTGTATATATATATATATGTATATGATTTTTTTGTTATCTTTAACAGCGTGTTTATCTTATGCTGTTCTTCTGGTTCTTTTTTATTTATTTATTTATTTGCTTAATGTTAAAAGCTGAAAACTTAATGTTATTACTTCATGTGTAGTATGTCGCCGTGTGCCAATTGTAAGGCTGCAGAGGCCTTGTCAAGTCAAACTTTTGACTTTTTGCCCCTGCAGCCTACATCAGTTTCTGATGTGAAATAAAGGATTGATTGATTGATTGATTCATTGATTTATTTACATTGAGTTGGAACTATGATGGTTCAGAATTATGTAAGAACCGAATCGGGGCTCCTGAATCAATGGTGACAATATTCCCAGGTGAGAAGTCAGTCTCCAAAACGCTGAATCCAATATGATACGAAGTAAAGCCAACAGAAAATAAACTTGGAACTGCGAGTGTGTCACCGAGAGCTAGGCCGCTGGTGCGGGCACTGAGGCTTTCAGAGGCATTCCGCCAGAGCCGCAGTCTTGCAAAAGTAATTTGTAATTGTGCCCGAAATTTTGCACTTACTGAAGCTAGAAAGTAATTAAATTACAATTACAATTCCTTATAGCCCAAAGTAATTAAACGCAATTACAAATTTAAAAGAAAGTAATTAAATTACATTAATTCAATTAGTGTACTTGAATTACTACTTCCTTTTGTCCTGCGGCTCTCAGAACGTTTATAGTTTTGTTTGCATCTCTAACCCCATGTCACTCTGGCCACCCCTGTTATAGCACATCATTTTTACCATCTCATAAAAGGTGGATCATGCCGGCGTGTTTCGCGGAACATGAGCCGAATTGTTCGTGCGAAACTACACGTCACACAGAAGATTTTAATTTCGTTCTAGTTTCTTAAAAGGGTACATTCAGAACAATCATTAGCGTCTGCGATAACGAAGTTCTGAATTAGGTTTGGGAATTTGAATTTCTAAATTAACAAATTTAAACGATGTTTCAGCTAGAAAATAGCTAACAACCGTCTAGAATCACAAAATCAGCGCACGTAGAAAGACAGAAAGCACCCCAAGCATTTACAGCCTTTCAAAAACAGTTTGGGCTTGTTTTCAATTTTCGGTTTTCTATCGGCAGAGCCGCAGAGGTCCTGCTCCCTGCTGACAAAGCGCTCAATAACACGCGCCATTCCACATTCTTCGCATTTGTTGCGAAAGGCACTGCGGCAGAACCGATACCTACCTTGATGAGGACCCTCGTAGTCGGCAACGGTCAGCTTGTAACCCTCCTGTTTGGAGCCGACGACGAATTTGTGATAGAGCAATACTGTCGGTTCCCTTTGTCCTATTTTTGTCAGTTCGATTCTGAGAGCTTGTTGGTTGTTCGGAAAACTCGTAAGTGCATGAAGATTATCAAGTCCTTTGACGGAAGGAAAAAAATGCGCTTAGAAATAAACACGAACACCCTCTCCAAATGGTAAGACTGACTCATAAACCCTCCATGACGTGAGGCCTCACTCCTAACATGAGCTGCAGGAATGTGCATGGCGCTGACTAAAACCATAGATCAAACCAAGCTAACGATAGTAAATTGAAACAAGAAACACCTACAAGAGTAGCGACTCACATTTTTCGTTTCACGATGCTATATAATCATATGCTTCAATAGCAGAAAAATATGCATTGAATTATATAAAGATAATTGTTGGTATTCATTAGCAAGCTAAAATGCTGGCAGAATAAACTTATTTGTGAGAGCTTGTTTTGAATGGTGAGTATCAATGTTAGTTGCAAAGCAAATAAACACAGATAGGCTACGTCACCCGAGGGTATCTTTATTGACTGGTTTTGTTTTACATGTGAACCAAAATTAATATTAATACTACTGGTGATTTCTGTTTAACGCAATATTCTTGTTTCTTTTTGTTGGTTTGGGGGAGATTCTCAAAGGAGAGTTAACGTGGCTGACAGATGTGATGTGGGCCACGGGGCATTTAGCCCACTAAAGTCCGCGGGAAAGTTTACCCCGTGACGTGACGCGAAGGTGTCACGTTACACCCACGACTCCAACTGTCTATATGTGGCGCCACTCGTTTATCAAAATGGCGGTAATAGTGAGGATCGGAGATACGTGATGGTATACCATTTTCTAGGCCTGTCTCGTTGGTGTGCTGACATTACTGAGCGACACGAATTATTCCCGCTTTGGCGAGGAAGCTGGAGTAGTGCGCAGGCAGGTCGCATTTTTCTCCCGAAAGCAACAAATATGCGTAGCGTAATATTGACTCCATGGTACAGTTTTTTTTTCTTAGGGGCGAAGCTCCTTAGGGTCTAGCCTTGTCCGGCGTCCGTGCTCACATCAATTGCACTGCCTCCGAAATCGGCCCATATAAAAAAAAAAAAAAATAAATAAAAGTACGTTTGTTTAGGGGCTCGAATTGGGAACCGCTTGCTTACGAGGCAGACGTCTTAACCACTACGCTACACTTTTTTTTTCTTTATTGCACACTACGCTACACTTCAACGTTGCATGTAGTCGCTCAACGTCTATACAGGAGATGGCGCTGCGGTCAAATGCTCAACTGCGTATATAACCACGATCCATACAACACATTCTCTTTCTGACATGGACCGTTGACTTAAGCGGTGGAGATGCGTTCCCCCCGCTTCTAGCGGATCCAAGCTGATCCGCTAGAAGAACCACTGGCTCTGCATTTCACCCACCATTAAGCAGTAATAATGAAGTTGAAACGCAATCCGGAACTCCGCACCACCTATGAACAATAAAATCAGTATCATCAGCACCACCACAGCTTCGCCGCAATGAACATCATTCACCACGTGGAGATGCGGCCACATTTTTTTTAAACATAAAGTCACGAGCAAAACAGAAACCAAATGTATAAAGCAGGCGAGCTCCTTAACGTTCCACAGGATTCTAAACCGGCGAGGAACGGACGACAAAGGGACAAAACACACACATTTTCCACCTCATCACTTTGCTTCACTCATAAAGATTGAGACGTGTGTGTTTGCGCCCTTGTCGTCCGTTAGTTTCTGGTTTAGTATGGTGTGTACCAAAAATACTGTTTTGAAGTCAACGCCTCGGTATAGACGTTAATGTCGGTTTCACACCTACCGACAAATGTGTCTCAGAACGTAGTTAGTGAGTTAAATAATATTTTGAGGCACTTAAAGATGTGATCTTAAAAGTCATTCCACTTTAGATGTGTTAAACGGGTAGATCATTCTTTAAATCGAACACTCGTATGTTACACATCGAGTTTTGCGATTTTTAGAGATCCATCCCTACCGAAAAACCCAGTATAACGTTTCTCTATCTGGATTATAAAACTAGACATCTACATGGATTCTATCTGGATTTCATGTTTGCAGAAGTTATTCACTTGGCATCACGCTGCTGTTACCTGATGACGTATTTTATGATCATCCTTCGGGCACAGCACAACGCCGCCGACGCCGCTTGTTTCTTAAGTATTGTGAAAAGTGAAGTCGTCCTAGAGGTATAGGACGACTTCTAGGATGACCGTAAGGATGACGCCAAGGCAATGGGACAAGTAAGATCGCTCGATGAGCGGAGCGAGCCGCTCAATCGTATATACATTTATCGGTTTATACGACGCTTTTTCGCTCATCGGGACAAGTAAGCCTTTCGCCTAAAAACATGTTTTACGAATGCTGTCTAAAATATTATTAAAGTGTTGTTTACGAAGCGTCTAAATCTCAATCTTGTGCTCTTGGAAAAGTCTGACCATAGCTTTATGCAAGACACATTGAAGTGGTCACCGACCACCACTCTTTGTGCTGGCTTGCTTCCCTTAAGGACCTAACCGGACTCCTCGGTCGGTGGGCGCTAAAACTGCAGGAGTATGATTTTAATATCGTCAACAGAAGTGGTCAAAAACATCAAGACGCTGATGGCCTCTGCCGATGTACGCTTACCCTTAAAGGGCCTCTGAAAGGAAAAAAAGAACTTTTTTTTTTTTTAACAGTCTGTTGGGACACGCGTGGCACTAAACAAATTTTACGCGAAAAAAAAAAATGTTTAGAGCGGTATTCACGGCGATAAATTTATTTGAAATTCTGCACGCAAAGTCCATGACGTCACGAAGTGATCATTCGCTCAATGCGATGGTAATTCGCTCTTTCCACCTCGACGCGAAGGCGAAACCGGTCCACTTCTCCTCCAGGCGCTCGGCATGCCGAGATGAAAAACAAGTAGAAATGAGGTGACTAGCAACTAAATCGCGTCTCGGGTAGTGAATATTTCTCTAAAAATGTTTTCTTTTGCGTATAATTAATTTTTTGACACGGATGTCCCAACAACACTGTTAAAAAACTTTTTTTTTCTTTCCAGGGGCACTTTAACACCATTACTACACTTGCACTATACACAAATACCACAGCTTCAATCGCTCCTATTTCCTGTGAGACTTTGCCTTCCGAGCAGCGTGCAGATCGTGTGAATAATTCAGATACTCTCCCACTTGAGAGGCAGCAATCCGTCCAAAAGTTGACGTTTTACTAACAAAGCTCAACAATTGTTTATATTGACGGGATATTGTTTTGTCAAAATTATGATCCACAGGGTAAGCGTTGGCTCCTTGTCATACCTCAACACCTCTGACAAGAGATATTACAAAATCTGCAAGATGAGCCCCCTGCCCGCCATCTCGGATTCCTAAAACCTACACAAGAGTTTGTCATCCATGGGTTCTTTTGGCCCGGAGTGTATAGTGCTGTATTCAAGTGCGTCAGGAGTTTCCAGCTGTGCCAGCGTCGAGAGTGTCCCACATCAACTCCCCCAGGACTTCTCGAACCCATAGCTCCCCCTCCTTTACCGTTCGTCGTTGTGTGAGTTGACCTATTCGGACCCTTCCCAGAACTGGATAATTGTGTATATCGACCATCTAACATGTTACGTAGAAACAGCGGTCCTTCCCAACGCTACAGCACCCTAAACTGCTGCGTTCCCGCTGAACCAGGTGATTCTCCGCCACGGAGCTCCACGTACTCTCATAAAAGATCGCGGACGGTCCCTTTTGTCTACCACCGTGGAGGCGCTACTTAGTTACTTACCACTAAATGTCTTTCTCATGTCAAAAAGAACTTGAGATGAACACCAGAATGATGCAATGACGTTACTTCCAAGCCATGTATATTGGAAACTCGGCCGAACACGCGTATCATTGTCTTTTGAGGCCATGGCGACGCCTTAGACATTCTTTGTTGTTATGGAATCACTATCGACGCTCTCCTTTGTTCACGCAACGAATGCGAAAAACAGTACGGCCTTTCGACACGGGCTTCTGGCCGGGGCCATTTTCAGTGTTCGTGCGTATGGCATGCACGTGATGTGTTTGCCTTCAGAAGCAACAAACATGCGCGTCCTGGGCTGTGGAGATCGCATGCTGGGCTGTAAATTTTTAAAAATTGAAATGTTGAATAAATTGAGCTCTAACTCTACTGCTGATATATGCCGCAGCACACAAGACGACCAAGAAAATGACCAAGATCTGGAATGGGTTATACAAGCCAACGAAGCCAAACCAGCGCTGAGAGCCTAAAGACTCTGGTTAAAATTCACGCCCGACGTTTCCAAGTACGGACAACCACTGTTGTGCGAACATTAGAGACACGGCCACGAAAGATTGCTGCACTGCCATTGGCTTCCAAGAGCCTCGTGTGGCACAGGCATTGTGTACTGGCGCATTTGACGTTGCTTGCAAGGCAAACACAAGCACACCAAGGGACTTTGCTGAAAGTATATGCCTTTTCCGCTTGGTCTCGGGGATCAAAAACCACGGTGTCGTGTGCATGTTTTTATGACTGGATTGGTTGGCATAGCTGATGAGATCGGCCGCGGTCTATTTGAAAGTAAAGGCGATGGGCACGGCGGTAAACAATGCAATTTGGACGTTGCCATGGCATCACTACGTCGTACATCCGTTGCCTCTCATTGATCCCATTTATTGTGCGTCGTTGCCGACATAAATCACACGACGGGAAAATCTAGCCGACATGCAAAACTAGAGTACCTCAATGTCCTTCTGTTGAGGGTGAGGCCATCGTTCGTAGAACCTGTTGACGACAGCACGCGCTCACATGGAAAATAGAAAAGTTGCAGGAAACAAAATGTCGCCCTAGCACAGTCAGCGCCACGAACGCGTGCAGGGACATGCTTTTTCACGCGCTTCAGAGCAAAGAAATAAATATAAGAGTTAAAAAAAAATTGGTAAGGTGTCATCACCCCAAGCCACCGAGCCCCGAAGCAAAGTGCACATAAAGGCACGCTAGGCAAAACCGATCCTAGCAGCAAACGCGTGCCGCGAGCCACCTTTCGTACGAGCTCGAGAGAAGAAAACAACAGCAAATGCTCTTGCAGCTTGATTCTGCTGT